TGCAATAAAGACGACATTTTAAAGCACTGCGTGGTGGCATACTAAACCTTACTAATACCTTAGCAGGCTGTAATGCTGTCCTGACTTTGGATCACAATGTTTCTGGAACATTTTCTAACTTTTGTTAAGACAAAAATTATTTTGTTTACTTTAAGTTGAATATTACAGTCGATCCCACTATAAGATATAGATACGTTCCATTCTTTGGAAACAGTAAAAAACCCCCTATAAGATTTTTTTACTGTTTCCATTCTTTGGAAACAGTAAAAAAAACAGTAAAAAACCCCCGTATAAGATATAGGGGGTTTTTACTGTTTTTTACGGATACTGGTCACAATTTTTTCGTAGTTTTATAGGAATCGTAATTATAGGGGGGTCGACTGTATTTATAAATAATGTATATATTTAATTTGTTAGAAAGCATTTCTTGACTAGTAGTACTTGACCTTGACCTAGGTATTTGAAACAGACTAGTTTTATTGCTTTATTGCCTTATTGCTGTACTTACAAATTTAAAACTGGTAGTTGGATTTGGTTATAAGCTATCAAAATGATCAGATCAAAATTTTTTCTCATTGTTTGTAAAATTAAGCCAGTGCCATTGTCTAAAGTTTCCTTTCCTAATGCTTTTCACACAGTTTATTATACACTTAGATATTCAACAGTTGTTTCAAAATAATTTTAAAAGATGTGCAGAAGAATTATTGCAAATTGACAGTAGAGTGGCAAACAATCCAACAGCAAGTATTTCAGAAATGGTAAAAATTACAGTCAACAAAATTTCAAACTTGTTTTGTTTAAATGTTATTTTAACAGAAGTATGAAAAAACTTCCAAAAATATTGTGATTCAAAGTCAGGACAACAATATAGTANCTCGCGGTCCGAAGGGCCTCGCGCCTCGAAGGTTTATGCATTATTTAAAAGCCGTGAACGTGACAAAAAATTTTACTCGTCGTAAAACGATAAATAGTTTGTCAAATTTTTATTCATAAAAATGCAGTTTCAACTGCTTTTTATTTTATAAAATCCGTATTCTTGCGCCACCAGAGGGGCTTTTAAACAATAGGTAGTCTGTTAGTGTTGGTCAGTAGTAGTCCAAATTCAATATGAACGTTTGTTTCTTGAAAATTTGATCACAATTTAAATACAGTATTTACTTTTAATATTACCGATATGTCATCGAAAAGAAAACGTGTTGTATTATCATTAAAAGACAAATTAAAGTATTTATTTCGATTATTTGGATTTTTCCTTATCTGGACTACCTTCATTTCCAATTAGTCCGGATAATCGAGGTTCTACTGTAATTGATTTCATTCTCTCTCTTTTTATTTGATTAATCAACACATTTTTGACTTGATATCCTTTTATCACTTCAGTAAAATCTAGATAAATATCTTTATTTTTTTACACTTTTGCTGTAATCATAATTCTAATTTAATATTTAATAATATAAAGCCATTTTATATTATAAGAAATGTGACTAGTTTGTCATCCAAATGGAATGTCATAATGGCTTATTTAACAGTATAGTGAGTGATTGGTTAACGAACATAATCCGTTCCAAGACTTTGTTCGCTATCCAAATTGTTCGTTAACTGATTATCAATTTACCATAGGTTTTTATGGGAATGTTATTAATTCGTTCTGGAACTCCAAAAAATAAAAAAATATATACTTTCTTATTACATTTATTTCTATGTAATAATAAAAATACATATATACACAGTCTTGCGTTTTTATTAGTCATGTTTTTTCTGAGCAAATCGTTTTGCTGGATTATTTAAAGGTTTTGATTTTATTTATAGTGTAGTTCCAGTATGAAAGTATTTTATTTATTATGTTTTTTCTGTTTGTAGGGGTTAAAGAATTGGTTTAATGTTGATTGCTTTTCTCTCTTCTTCAGGATTTTTCAGAAGTAATTAATAGCATTGTTGTTGTAGAGATCCTCAAGCTTATTAACCTCAACCTGGTTTGGATGCCATTCTAAGACTGTTGTTCTGACATCCTCCCACTTCAAAAGATGTTTAATGACAGATATCGGCATTAATCATCTTTTTTCAGAAGAAAAATATCTCGCTGAGTTTCTTGGTGTTCTCCATTTAAGAGTTTTTGGCATTCTTCTGTTGTCAGATCCGTTTCAGGTTTCATTATGAGCTCTTCAATGTTCTTTATTTCTCAGATATGATTTTTGTTACTCCTTTAGCTGCTTGAGTCTTCTTGATTATATAGTATATTTCTTAGATAAGATTGAACTGCAGTCTACTATAGACCTGTTCAAGCCATACTGCCCAGCAACATCACATATCTTCTGCCCACTCTCTAACTTTGCTATTATACTCTCACCTTTTGAAAATAAAAACCGACGCAAAACTTAATGAGTGCCCACCCGACAGTCTTGTGAATACTATAAAAGAATTGTTTTTGTCAGAAAAATAAAAGGCTGGAATTACAAGGGAGAGTTTCAAAGAAATATTATCTGAGCAGTATATACTGGGTTGAGCATTGATGTCGACATCTCCAGCTCTCCAGAAAGTTTTGAATTGTTGCCTTGAAGACAAGAGGAGACCAATTGGTATTTATTATTTTATGTCGCTTGTTTGTTTTCGTGTTTGTTCTGAGAGATGTTTGTTGTCCGAACATAAAAATCTTTCGGAAAGTGTTTGTTATTTGATTTGTTCATTAACCAAACTGTTTGTTAACCAATCACCCACTGTAATTCATAAATCTTTGTTTGTTTTTTAAATCTTTTGTATAAGCTCTTTAAAATTCTGTATGCCATTATAATGCTTTGATTTTGTATACAGCTTGGTGCAACACCTCATGTAAATGTATATTTTTAGCATTTTGAATTCATTTTGAAAAGTAATGCCAGTTTCAAACGTAAGAAATATTATATTGTTTTGAGGATAATTTTTTAAGGAATTCAAAAATTTTCATATTATTAAAGTACCATGAATTTAAAAAAAATTGCCATTATGATAAAAAGAAATACTCTTGAGAAAAACAAGTGGTCAACAAAAAATGAAATCTGTTAACTCAATCTACTACAAGTCATTTCAAAGTTGAGCGACCTGTGTTACACTTCCAAAAGGTTTTTCTCTGTTAGTTTATTAAGTGTATGGCTTAGAGACAAACTACTTAAATGGTTAAGATTATTGCTGTGCATAATGAAGGAATGCCATTGTGCTGAATTTCTATGAAATGTGCTGTCATCAATTGACAGTTAGCAGGTGACTTAGTCATTTCAATATAGCTAACAGTTAAGATTGTCTTAAAAAGGGAAGACCAAGGAAAATTACCATGTGAAATAACTGCAGTTTCATTTGATTGAGATTGAAAGACCATGTTAAAGCTACAAGAAATTGAGATTTAAGTGTAGCTATGCAGTTTGGTTACTATTTCCAGGTGAACAACAAATTACACACTGAAAGAAAATGGCTTAAGAGCCCACAACCTGTGAGAAGACTTTCAAGAAGGGGCCATTCGTCTACAGTGGGTATGCAATCATGAAGGTCGGACTATGGATGAGTGGTGTAAAGTCATTTGGAGTGACAAAACAATAATCTTTTTGATACCCAACAAAGGAACAACATTTGTATGATACTGAAAAAATGACAGATATTCAAATACTATTGTACTGTTCAAGCAGTAAATCATCCAACTGCTTTTATGATTTGGGGTTTCATCTCAACTCATGGAATGGATATGTTGCATTTTGTTGAAGGTAAAAGTATTCTTCCCAATTTATCAATGTTCTGGAAAACAAAATGCTTCCTTCATCTGTTGACATGTTTGGAAATAGCAATTTCATCTTCCAGGAGACAATGAATCCTGCCTTCAGGCTCAAGCAGTGGACAGATGGTTTGTTTCTAATTCAGTCCAGAGATTACAATGGCCTGTACAATTGCTGGATCTTAATCAGACTGCAAGCTTTTGGATGAAATTAAAACAGAAGGTGAATGCAAAGAATTCAACAAATAAATTACAGTTAAGTGAAATTATAATTTCAAGCTGGTATCACCTAACATTACTGGTTAGACTTGAAAAACTTGTAATAAACCCAGTTGTACCTTAGTACAGTAGAGCATTGATTATCCAAATACCAATCAATCGAAACATCGATTAACCAAAAGTGTTTCAGTCAGCAAATTCAAATTTCCACTAGTGCTGTGGCACTGCAGCACTCTTTCCCTCCCTGCCAACCTAAACTGTAGGCCTACTTTAATGTACTACTTTATATAAGATATGCATTTGTAAGACGTATGATACAAAATATATACAGTATAGTTTTGTGTTTAATATATTTTTTCGTGAATGATCAGTTATTCGAAAAATCACTTATCTGAACAATCCCAGTCCCGAATTGTTTCGGATAATCGATGCTGTACTGTAATTAAAAATAAAGGCTTCCCAATTAAATATTAATTGTCTGTACATCTTCAAACATATCTAATGTTTATTGAAACTCATTAAAGTTTTACATGTAGTCGATGTTTGTGTTTTTTCTTTCTCCTGACTTAAACAGTTACTTGTAATTTACAAGAAATAAAATATTTCATGGCTTCGCAATTTCTTTTTCTTCTCACCCATGGCATGTAAAACAATGCTGATATTTTAATTCTGTCAAATTTTTTGAATTCCTTATGAAATTGTCTTCAAATGATGTATTATTTATTATGTCTGGAATTAGCTTTATTTTTCATGAGTTCAAAATCTAAAAATCTATGGTTATGTGAGATGTTGCAGGACTTTTACATAGATAAATGTTAATTAGTTCTATTAGATATCTAAGATTTATAACAATAATCTTTTACATAAGTAAATTGCATTTTATCTTTCTAATTAAGTCTATATTCTTCCTACTGTAATAAGTAAATTATTATTTACTTGTTACAGTATGACTTAGAGTTCTTACTATCTATTCTTACTTTGTACTATATTATTTTAATATGTCTGATAAATGTAAATTGTGAATTGATATAATTTATTTCGACAGATGGAACATAAAGAATCTACTAGGCATAGCTCAACAGGAGAGAGTGGAAGCCGCTCTAACATTCAAAGAATAGAAACGTCACAAAGTTCACCCAGCAATATTGGAATGACCGTCATAAGATCCAATACTAGTAATGTTCTTCCAGATCTGTTGCCTCAACATACAACATCAGCTCATCCGTCATCACCTCAGCATAGGTCTCAAGATCAAAGTACATCAGAGGAGGTAAAATTATTATTATTATTCTTGTTCTTTAATTTTGTGGTAATTGATAAAAATTATGAATATGTATATTCAAATACCCTTGTCATCTGATATATTAAACATTAACTGTAAAAATTGTTCAAAATTTGATAATTACATAAAATTTATTTGGCCAAACTAAAATAATTTTTTCATGAAATTATTTATATGATTTAATTTTATTAAATTTTGCTCAACAAATTCATTAAATTTCAGTTTTATTGAGGAAAATAGATGTTTTGCTGAATTTTCCTACTGAAAAGATTCAGCAAGAAGTAGTGCACTTATCCTTGCAAGAAAAGTTGTTTTTTTATTTTTTAATCTGTATTAATGCCATATTGTTTGCTCTTTAGTGAAATCCTTCTCATATTATAGAATATTCAATTTCTTGTCAACTGAAAAATTGAATATGGTTCATTTCATACTACTACAACCCTCAGAAAAACTTAGGAATCACACTTGTATTTTCTGGCATAAAATTTTCAAGTCATTACTGCAATTTTGTGTATGCTTTATTACAGAAATCAATCAATAACAATTAAATCCAAAATAATAATTACTTACAACAAGCATAACAAATTCATGTTGGAAAAAGTTTGGACGTATACAAGGTTGTGGCTATGAAATCACTTTCTTATATGGCTTTCTTTGGCTTTAATTACAGCTTTAACACTTTTAGGTATTGATTTCACAAGTTTTTTTTACAGATTTCTGCATTGATTTACTCCAAGCATAATTAATAGTGTTTTTTAGTCTTTCCTTGTTTTATGGATGCTTAAAATTTATAAATTCCTTCAATACACACCATATATTTTCAATTGGATTTAAATCTGGACTGCTTGTTAGTCCATCTTTTCCAAATTTCTTTGAGTGAAGAATTATTTGCAACTGATGTCACTCGGTGGCACAGGTCATCTTGGAAGGTGACATGTTTGTCTCCAAACTACTCTCCATTTGTTCAGATAAGGAATCCTTTCAGCATCTCTATTTAAACTTTGGCATTCAAAGTGACACAAAGAATGCAGAGTTTTCCAGATCCTCATGCTGAGATATAAGTCAATATTATGAGAGATTAAAGAAATTTGACTTTGCATTTCACTTATTTGTCTTGACATACTTTACCTTTCCTTCACCACACAAATGAGTGTTTTCACAATAGTTGATGATGATCTTTGACTCATTGAAGATGACACAAATGCATTCTTTTAGTTCAGTTTTTTTGTTCTTTGGTCTACAACACTTGTTTATGCAAGTGAATAAACCAGTTTGGTTACCTTGGCTTTGTCTTAATTTTTCCTTTAGGAATAACCCATGAAATGGATACAATTTATTATTGTTCTGCTGATCCTGGACCAAGCAGCATTCAATTGCTTTGAGTTTCTTGTGGCATACTGCTGCAAATTCGGTACAACATTCAGTCTTGGTATTCAGAGGTTAGCATTGGACACTCATTTCTGAACTGAGTTTTTACAGTTTTTCTTGTTGTATATGTCTTTCATATCTTACAGTGGACTATGAACATCCCATTGTCTGGACAACACAATGTTGAGAATATCTGTTCTTTAGCAATGTAACGATATATTGGTTTGTTTGGAAAGTTCGTAGCTATTTTTAAGAGAAATAAAATAAACTGTTTTAAAACTAAAAATATACTTTTATTCCATTACATATATGTCATTGTTTTTAATGACGTGTTGCCATCTATGGGGGAAGCTTCATGATACCCTCTTCGTAGAACTTTCCAGTTTTTTCCACAAAAAACTGATCCACATGGTTTTTTTTCAAGCATTCAAAGTGTCAAAGTTTTTATCATGAAGGGAATTTTGCAGAGAATGGAACAAATGGTAGTCCGATGGGGCACGGTTGGGTGAGGTAAAACATTCCAGCCTAGTTCCAATAATTTTTGGCGTGTTCGTAAAGACATGTGTGGTCTGGCATTATCTTGGTGAAACATTTTCTATTGGCCAGTTCCAGACATTTTTCTTTAATTGCCATGTTTAGTTTATCCAATTGGGAACAATACTTATCAGAATCAGTTGTTTGATCCTGTGGAAGCAGCTCGTAGTACAGGATTCCTTTCCAATCCCACCAGACTGTGAGTATGATCTTCTTTGAATGAAGACTGGCCTTTGGAGTTTTTAATGGTGGTTCATTTTTCTTACCCCATGATCGTTTTTGGCTGATGATGTTATAAATGATCCACTTTTCATCACCTGTCACTAAACACTTCAGAAAAGGGTCATTTTCATTTCGTTTTTCAATAGAATCACAAATGGAGATGCAATCCAGTAAGTTCTTTTCCGTTAAATCATGAGGTATCCAAATGTCATAACGATTCACATATCTGAGCTTCTTTAGATGTTGAAATACGGTACTGTTTGATGACTTCATTATGTCTGCAATTTCTCGAGTTGTATAATGAGGGTTTTCATCCAATAATGCTTTGATCTGGTCCTTTTCAATAATGGGAGGTCTTCCTGAGCAGGGAGCATCTTCAAGGCTGAAATTACCCACTTTAAATTTTGCAAACCACTTTTGAACAGTTGATTCTGCTACAGCACTCCCACTATAAACATCACATATCTTTTTTGCTGTTTGCGCAGCATGTTTTCCTTTACAATAATAATAAAAAAAAAAAAGAAACAAACAAGTGTCGATAATGCACGTTGTTTGTATCCATTTTTGCAATGAGACAAATTAAACAATATTTAAATAATCTTAACAATTTTTTGTAATGGACACGTCTCAAGGTCATTTATCGTAATATTCATTGGTTTGTACAATTCTAATCATTTTCACATCAATCAGTGTCTCAACTATTGGCTATTAAAAATTGCTATGAACTTTCCAAACAACCCAATAGTTTTTTTTATGTCAGAGAGTTTAGCTATTGGAACCATTTCAAGTGCCAATATCAGAAACTGCTGATAGCAGCTAAGGCATACAAAGCAGCTTTGGGTATTTATGTAGTTTTGTATTAAATACACAAAACCTAATTTGCATAGATTTTGCTTATTTTAAATGGGTAAGCAGAATATTTCATACTTTCTTCAACAGCTTTGTATGATACAAAACTTTTTTCCAAGATTTTGTGTTTGTCCTAAGTAAATTTTTCTTTTGCATTTAACTGCTGTTCATTTGTTTAAGATTTGCATAAAATGAATGTAGTTTTGTTATCAGTTGATTTCTGTAATAAAGCATACATGAAATTGCAGTAATAACATTACAGAATTGTTAGCACCAGAAAATGTGAATGGTGATTCCAAACATTTTTTTAGGGGAAAGTTACTTTGTAAAGTACTATATTATTTTTCCGACTTTTCCAACGATTATCGATACTACTGTGTGCCGGAAATAGCCGTTCCCTAACGGGTACTTTACGCGGATTCGCGTTAGTGTGCCAGGCCTGGACTTTAAGCGTGCACCGAATTAAATAATGACAAAGTTTGTCAATAACAAAATCAAATATTTAATTAAACTTCTAGTAATAAACTATATACAGTATTTAGTAAAAATCAAACAATAATTTATTCAATGAAATTCAACAAGAATCAAACCGACAAACTCAAATCAATCTATTTCTAACTTAATTCTATTCCCCTTTGGAATTCGACAAAATCAAAGAATTAACTTATAAACAATAATTCTTATAAATTAAAGATCCTAATCGTCACCTCAATATACTAGGAACCTATTTCCTCAAACTCTCAAGACTTTCTATAATCGTCGATCCACAAATCGAATAAATTCAAAATCGCCTTGGAACTATTTGATCCTATCGGACACCTCTCTCGTTCACTGCTACGAGGCTCACCAAAGCTCGTTGCTATCAGGAATTCACCTCGTTCGTTTTCACTTGAGTTAGAGGCTTTATAGTGTGAGGTGACGTCACAATTCTGAATGAGATCACTCTCCTCATTTACATACTTATCTGTAACATTAAATTTTTCTTGTTTATCTGGCAGATTATTTTCCGACAATACTTCGCTAACCTTTTACATTATTCTTTTTAACAATTATCGGGATGCTTTATTCTTTTAAGGTTTAGCGATTCCTAACTGGGTTGTGGGGTCTCCCCCCCCCTTTTCGTCGGTGCGGACTTACTTTTTTCCGCTCGGGAAGCGCAAGTGTGCGCGAGTTTTTCTACGGCGCTTTTCTTTCGTCGGTGAGTTGGTTTTTCTTCTATTTTTAAATTACTAAGGTGAATGGTGAGGAAACCTTCGTCTTAACTAAACATAAGCCCCAAACAAAATATAATGAAAGCAAAATAAAAGTAAAATAAAAATAAAGCTCAGACTTGGTTCCTTACAACTTAAAGTTTATTTTATTGTTATTTTTTTTTTATAATTAAAATTGCTACATCCATTCATTAGTCTGTTTTCCCTCCAATTCCTGCTTTGCTTTGCTTAACATCTTAACAAAGTACTAAAGTTTTTATAAAATATATTTTAATAAAACAAGATACATAATTTATTCATCTGATATATATCATATGATTGTGTGTTGCATTCTTAAATGTAGATGTTCTAAGGTTTAGTAATCATTTTATTGTGATAAAACCTAAGTTATTAATTACTGTGAATCAATAATGAATACAGTAGAGCATCGATTATCCGACCCCTGATTAACTGTCACATTGGTTAACCGACCGTTCTAGTCAGCAAATTTCAAATGTCCGCTAGTGATGTGGCACTACAATATTTGGCTATGTCTTGGCTACTTTAATATTATTTTTGTTAAATTTTTGTGTTTTAGCTGGCAACACTTTCTAATTATGAGTTGTTTTTTGTTTTGTGAGCAATAAAATAATTTAAGAATAATTTTTAACGATAGCAAAGATTATTATTTAAAAGAAAATTGTTAGGCTTAACATCGATGAAAATTCAATGCGAAGTTGGTTAATAGCAATATACTAATATACTAATTACATGGGATATACTAATATATTAATTACATGGGATATACTAATATACTATACGAATAATGTATTTTTTTTCATTCTTTTCAGTTATCCGACCAACCTGAGTTCCCAATTGAATCGGATAATTGATGCTCTACTGTAATATGTTTAAATTAAAACAATTTTTCATGAAACTTAATTGTGAAATTTAGATTAAACTTTTGAGAGTAAAATATGCATTAATAATAATTATTTACCTATTAAAAATATGTGAATTTTATAAACTAGCTATCTTAACATATTTCAAATATTTGGCGGTATATTAAATCTTGGTAAATGTAGTACACAAAGATTTAATAAATGACTTCTACATATAAAATATAGTTTTTATAAAATACAGTATAGTTAACTTTTATTCAGTATCGACAGGCTATTGGTAAAACCCCACCGCAACTTCAACACAAACAACGTTCGTTCCTCACGTTTGGTTTTGGAGCCGGAGGAACGGGTCCTTCTCCTTCGCCACGTCGTGAAAGTCATGTTAATGTTAATGTTACACCTACGTCACATGAGACAACGTCAGACACTCCTGAAATTAGGAAATATAAGAAGCGTTTTAACTCTGAAATTTTGTGTGCAGCACTTTGGGGTACGTAAAATGATAATTAATCTGTTTAAAACATATGAGAACTTTTTAAAAACAATAATTACGGTGGTGTGAATCTTGTAGGTGTGAATCTTCTAATTGGTACTGAAAATGGCTTGATGCTACTAGATCGAAGTGGACAAGGAAAAGTATATCAACTAATTTCTAGGCGTCGATTCCAACAAATGGAGGTTTTAGAAGGTCAAAATATCCTTGTCACTGTGTCGGGGAAAAAATCAAGAGTTCGAGTTTATTACTTATCTTGGTTAAAGAGCAAGATTCTAAGAACTGATGGGGTAAGTAAATATTTTTGTTTACATATTTATTATGAAGTATTGCTAATATTTTACATATACTGTATATCTTTTTAATTATTTTTATATTAGCAAGTAGAAAAACGAAGTGGCTGGATTAATGTTGGAGATTTACAGGGTGCTGTACATTTTAGGATAGGTGTGTTTCTTATAAGTCATACAGTTAATTTATAATTTAAATATTTTTTCATTTATTTGTATTTTTATTTTATAGTTAAATATGAAAAGATAAAATTTCTGGTCATTGCTTTAAAAGAAAGTGTTGAAATTTATGCATGGGCTCCAAAACCTTACCATAAGTTTATGGCATTTAAGTCATTTCCTGATTTAATACACAAGCCATTATTGGTGGATATGACAATAGAAGAGGGTATACGATTAAAAGTCATATATGGTTCTCCAGAAGGTTTTCATGCTGTTGACATTGATTCGGGTGCTGTTTATGATATTTACATTCCAGCTCATGTGAGTGTTTTTAATTTCTTAGCACATAGTCACATAGTTTAAATATTATAAAATAAGTCTTATTTTGAGTACCCACATGCATACACACAACTTGTAACAGACATAATATATAATTTAATTTTTTTTCCAGACCCAAGGTCTTATCTCTCCCCATACGATTGTAACTTTGCCAAATTCCAAAGGATTGCAACTGTTGTTATGTTATGATAGTAAGTACAAAAATGTAAAATTAAAGAAATGATATTTAAACAATAAATTATATAATTAATGTTTGATTAATAGATGAAGGTGTATATGTTAATACATATGGAAAAGTCAGTAAAAATATTGTTTTACAATGGGGAGAAATGCCAACATCAGTGGGTAAGTAGGCTGCCATATTATATTTAGAAATTTAAATTAAATTTTATTTGAATTTTTTTCCCTATATTAATTATTTTTAGCATACATCGGGACCGGACAGATTATGGGTTGGGGTAACAAGGCCATCGAGATCAGAAATGTCGAAACCGGCCATTTGGATGGTGTCTTTATGCATAAAAAAGCACAAAAATTGAAATTTCTATGTGAAAGGAATGATAAGGTAATAGTGTTATTTAATTTTTATTATGTATTTTCATCTAATTTATTTATAACTCATTTAAATAATGTATTTAATAACATATAATTATTTTCTTGATCATTATAAATAAAATATGTACTTTAGTTTGGAAGTGATAAATTAAGAAAATTTTTTAAAAAATCTCAAAAAGGAATTTTTTTAATTAATTACAATAATCAACTTTAATGCTTTTACTGCTTTTTAAAATACAGTGTAACCCTAATTTACAAACATACCTTAGGAATTTTAATTTTATTTGGAGTTACTGTAAATATAATTTCTAAAGTTTAATTTATTTGTTATCATACAAATATGAATTAAAGGGAGGAAACCAATAAACTCATCACGTTCAACTAACATTTATTTAATTTTAACCAAAAGTTAAAATGAGAATTATAAATTTGATTTTAATGTGCAAATTGTCAATTTAATTCTTACAAGTTACCATTATTTTTATACAACACACTTATTAATATACTGTATACTGTTACAATTATAAAGTATAATCTAAGAGTATTTAATCTAAAACTTAAATTTTTTTTATTTTTCAAATAAAATATTTTTATGCAAAATCATTTCTCAAAAATATGAATATTACAATTACAGAAAAATGAAGAAAACTGCAACAAATGTTTTTCAGAAAAAAAAAATGCCAATAACAAATTTCAAATTAAACTTATTAAAATATTAATTCTAATTTTTAGAAATTATACTTACAAAGAAACAATTAACTTTTGTCACAATCATTTACAAAAAGAGGGATGTTTTTAAAAAATAAGAAAAAGAATTCATTATAATACAAGGAAATCAGATTAATCACAAGATTCAGGATTTAATTTTATTGATACAGAAATTAACATTTATGTTATTAAACTGACTAAACAAATATTAATTGTAAACTATGTAGAACTTTTTTAATGATCACTTATTTAATTTCAGGTGTTCTTTTCTTCAGCTAAAGGTGGTTCATCTTGTCAAATATATTTCATGACTCTTAATAAGCCCGGAATGGCAAACTGGTAACGTTGTACAATATAATAAATCACAGTTCATAGACTATGTTTGTGAGAAGTACCGAAGGTAGTTTTATATAACGTTGCTTTTCCACGAAACAAGAGAAGCAAGGAATTTTTAAATAACTCTACTCTGCAGCACCTCTACTGTATAAATTTCGTTTGTTTTATACTTTGCTCAACATTCTTAACAATGAGTTTTTATCATTCAATACAATTATCCTTTGTTATTTGATAATGTACATAAAAGTAGTTCTCTCGCTCTCTCTCTCTTGCTCCCTCTTTTTTTTAATTATAGTAATTTAGTTTTTATTCTGTTTGTAACAATTTTGCTCTATTGGTCTGTCGTTGACTGGCGTCCGCCTTAAACGAGTTGTATTTTGTTTTAAAAAGAAATTAAGAAGAATTTAAAAATGTTAATAAAGTTGGTGCTGTTTCACTTTGATATATTGGTGCTAAGCTTTTATAAATAATTAAGACTCTTTGTTATACTGTAATTGATATTCTGAAATATTTTATCACTTTCATTATTTTGATATATTTTAATTTGTTTTTTTAAGTATGTATCAGTGCTTCAGTGTATTGTGTGCAGAATGATGAACCATTTGGGTGCATAATAGTTAAGTTATTCTAACGAATTAATTTATGAGTTTGTTCCTCGCCAAGACATGTAATATCATAAATAAATAAATAAATGAGAGAAACTGGAAAAGAAAAATTCTCCGGATGTTTAGGCCACTAGTTTAGGAAAGAGGTTGGGATTTTTGGCTGGTCGACATCCTTTGAAATTATTTAAATTTGATAGATTTTTATATACTTTGTCCCCCTGAAATTGTTACTATGGGATATTGAGAATACATTGATTGTATTAAATGTTTGCTCAATGAATATTATATAAGAACAGTGAAAAAAATACAAAAAATAAACGTTTAATTTTTCTATGCGTTACCAATTAGTCTCTACTCACAAATGTTATTACATTTCATTCAGACTAGAGCATTCGAAACTGTACATATTCTCCAACATTCGGCAAATTCATAATTTATTATATAAATTTTGTAAAGACAAAATGTATATTTGTACTGATTGGATTTCTTTCCTTTTTTAAAAAGTAATGAGCTAGAAAAAATTGTAATTTAATTAACCAAACAAAAATAAATATGTAGAGTTGGAATGTTATCAATAGGTTCAATGATGGTCTGTTGCATTTGGGCTGGTCTTTTTCTTGTTTTATTCTCAATAATTTTGAATACTGTATATCAAACTTTCCACTGACTTTTTGCAAAGGGTATTTGCTAACTTCTGGGATGATTAAACAAAAAAAAACACTTGCCATATCACACTAATTCACTCCCTTACTAATAATTTAGGAGAGCACTCTTCATACTTCATCATTATGTATATATATTGCACGATGATTTTGAAAAATCAGATTTTTTAGAGTTTAAGCTAAACGACTACCCGTGTCAAAAGTAGCATTTATTTGTATCTTAAAAGGAAAATAAAAGTACAAATAAGGCATAATCCAAGACCATTTTGAGATCCAGAGGGAAACGAATCCTCAGCCTTACTTAGCAATCATCGAGGGCCTCGCTTAGCAATGCATTCATTAAAGTCCAATTTGGGGCCTTATTTCTCTGGCCTCTTGATTTGGTGGTCCTAGGTTCGGACCCTCGCGACGGGTGGGCGGCAGCTACCAAAATTTCTACTCGAAGTCGGATTTGTTTTCTATTTTTAGAAAAAAGACCAGCCTCGATTTTCTTTTCCCCCTCAAACTTTTTTCACAGTCAATTTTTTTTAAATATTTAAGTTCCGGTTTAAAGTTAATCAATTTGATTAAGGAACTTATTTATTTCTTTAAAGTTCTTGTAAAATAATGATCTTAGATTAGTTATTTTAAACTTAAAATAAAGGAACAAAACAATTTAATGTATATAAAAATATAGAAAAATAATACGTTTGTTTGTAATATTAAACTTTTTTTAACTGCTTAAGTTTATTCTACTTTTTAATTTCTGTTTGTCGCAGAATGCAACTATAATATGCTAAAATTAATTAATAATTTTACATATTTCATTGTGAATATTTATTGAAAATAAAAGAATGTTAGTACATAAACTCTAAAGGCTTAATTATTATTACTGGAAATAATTAACTGAGAGATTGATTTTTGTTCTTTTATAGTTGACACTTTAATATCATAATTCAGTACTGTATTGTAAATGTTAGAACCTAATTTTATTTTATCGCTTTTAAAGATTCAGTAGACGTCAAATTGTATTTTTATTAAAAATAACATTCAAATTTTTTATACAAAAAATGAATTTTAAGTATTTTCCAACAAATATTTTGCTTCACTTTTTGCCATTATAAGAATTCATAAGTGATGATTGTGCCTCATTGTCGCAGAGTAAAGCTGGATGATCATTTCTAACATGTGCAGGAAACATTAGCATTTTCTCAAATGATCAGTCACATATCGGAATATTAATAATACAATGCCATTCAAAGTGGTAATCTGTGACATTTTCCAGAAAGATCTCTTGTTTGATACATACAATTACTTACTGATTTGTATTTTTGTTTTGATGTTGGTGTTATCCTTTCGAACTAATGGAGAAGAGCAAGAATGAAAATAAAGTCTAGAAAGACTGGAGAGAACGAGTGAAAGAAAAATAAATGCACGTCTCTAAATTTCTGTACATTAACACGTTTGTTATTTTCACAAAAATAACAGGGAGGGAACGAAGGTCACTTAACACCTCTACTACAGAATATAGAATGTAGCCAAGTTAATTCACTCATGTCAGGAACACATTAGACTAAGGGGAAACTGATTGATGTGTGTTACACACACGTCCACCATCTTGAATGCAATTCCGAAACTGTAAATGGGAAGGAGGTCATGTGATACTTCATTTTGGGTCAGAATTTTGCAAGGAATTGATTGCTGGAAGATTTATTGACTACTTCCAACAGTTACAGAGTTATGCACGTTACATAATATGCTCAATGTACATTCTTTGTGTGCATTCAATATTCTGTAGCAGGGATGTTAAGTGACTTTCTTTCCCACCCTGTATAAATCTAGTAATAATTTGGTGCATATCGTTAATTTCTATTGAAATTGGATGATAATAGAACAGAGGAAGAATATTAGGATTAGAAGGAAGAAGACAGACTTGGCTGATCTAAATGATATTTATATCTATTTATTTGTTAATGGAAACATAATTCCTAGTTACCACTTCAGATAATTTAAGCAACATTATTATAACCCGTTTGATTGAGAAAATGATAATGTTTTCGGTATGCAGAAAGAAAAATCAGACTTGAAAGTTTTGTAAAAATGTATAGAAACTTTTTTAAAAGTTAAAATTTGTTTCTATAAATAAATAACTTGTTTCTATTGTATGTTTAAAAGCGAAAACAGAAATATAACTCTAATATAACAGAAACATATAATACAATATAATATAATATGTAAATAATTTTTCATACAATAAATTATATGATTTTATCCGTAATTTTCTTTAATGATATTTTCAAAATAGTAAGTATTAATTTCTTAAATTAACTACAGATTATATTTAAGCCAATAATAATTGTCATATTTCTTCTAGCTTTGATGATTAAGTTTTTTCCCTTCAATTGTTAATTAAACACGATGGGGGAGGGGGTATTTAGGGACGCTTAATTTTCAATATATTACACTCTAAACCAATTAAAATGTCTTTTTCAAATTCCTTGTGGCAGATAAAACACTAACACAAGAAATGAAAAGACATGCAGTTACAGTTGCCATATGTGTGGAACACAACACTAGAAATTGCAAACTTTGTAAATGTTGCAAACTGATGAGAAAAACTTCGAACAAGTCCAAAAATCTCTAAGTAGAGGAATGACCAGAGGCGGACTAAGGCTAAAGCGGGCCCTAGGCAACATTGTAAATCCGGGCCTATTTTTAAAATTAAAAAAATTAAAAACCTAATTTTTGGGGCCCCAAAAATTACGGGCCCTAGGCACGTGCCTAGGTTGCCTAGGCCTTAGTCCGCCCCTGGGAATGACAGATTACCTGCAGATTCTTTGACGTCCTCAGATACGCACTAAATTTCCATCAACTGTGATGATTTTAGTAGTAGTAAGCAACGAAGGTCATGCTATACCACCCATCTTTCCACAACTGTCTCCAGTAGCATTAATGGGTAGACGAAGTATGCAATATAAGACCATATGTATTTTAACAAGACCTACCTTGCAGACGAATAGCAAGCAAGAAAATCAGCAAAAATTTCATTTTACTATCCTGGCTGTTATATTAAAATGTACGAAAAGCAGACATTGTATAGAATGCCTGGTGTTTTTTGGGCAAAATATGAAATATCTGAATTATTTTAATAATATATATATTTTCCCTACGCATTGTATAGAATGACAAATGCTATTTATGCAAAGTATTAAAAGAGGGTCATGGAAAGGCTTTTATTGATAAGATTATTTTGTATTTTTTTTCTTTTTTCATATAAATTATAGGACTTATTGAGTAAAACAAGAAAATTTGAACCTACTTGCAACAAGAAAGAAAAGAATTTTATTTTAAATCGCACTTAGTTGTCCTTCTCACAAAAAAGTAAAATTTGAAAAGAGTATCTTAAAAAAACGCCTTCATTAAAAATACATAAATGAAAAAAGAAAATGTGAAATAAAAGAACTTACTTAAATAAGAGAAAAAAATTAACTTATTTGTTGCAAAAAGGAAGGCTTGAATGGCATTTTGAATTGCACTTCATTGCTTTTTACACAAAAGCACTTCATGTGTTGGCACTTGGTCTTACACAAACGACGAATCCTTGGCCACTTCCTGTAGACTGAGCAATAGCAGTTGACCGGAGAGGTATTTCGCGGTCAGGAATGTCTTCAATTTTGAGTAAATTCTTTGGGTATAAAGTGATTTATGATCTCGCATACAGTTGTTTTTAAATTTCTTCAGAAGTTCCAAGTCGGTGAAAACAGTTTTCTATCACGTTTATAACAACTGTCAATGGAGATTGCGCGAATCACCTCGTCCCCTGTCAACGTTAGCAAAGAAGCAGGAAGAAATTTCATGTCAGAATTTATTTTCATCTTTTTGGCCTGTATTTCCAAATTGAATTTAGAATCAATTTTCTCATCTCCGTCATCTTTACTGGCACGGCCATAGAATCTATGAATTTTTCGACGACACTTTCTGCATACATGTGCATCACTGGTTTCCTTTAAA